ATATATATATATATATATATATATATTAGTATAATAATGAATATAATATTGTAATAAGCCTATGGTGGCTGAAAACCACAACTTCTCAACTTTCAGAAACCATTGGTTTGTTCTTTTGAGAGCACAAACTATCGCAAAGTTGACAACATTTACCCGTGCCTTCATGTAAAAAGTTGTTTTTCTCTGCAAAAAGAAGTTGAAGTTAAGAACTTTAGTGATTTTTTTTTTTTTATTAAAAGCTATGTGTGAAAAATGCTATGCTAAAGAGTTCAAAACATTCAGAGCGTCCGCCATTTTGAAAACCGAAAAACAAGAAGGAGACACAGCCCATGTCATGTCAAGGGGCCTACCTCCCATTTTTATTAGACACTGCTGCTTGTTCCCTCACCAGCATGAATCCTTCACTTTAAACGGTCTTCTACTGCCATCCAGTGGTCAAAAGAAGTACTACCCAGAAATTAACCTACTTTTCTTCTTAAATTTGACAATAATTACTAATGTCAAATTTCAGTTATCGTTTATCGCAATAATTTCTGAGACAATTAATCGCCCAGCAAAATTTGTTATTGTGACAGACCTATTCATTGAGTCAGATGTCAATTGTGCTTTATTAGGATTAAAAATCTCTGGTTATTATTTTGAATAGTGCTTGAGGGATCACATGATATTGCTTGTTTGTGTTTTTTTGTTGTTTTGCTTGTGGTGGTGTGGATGTTTTGAATGTCCGTATTTTTCGGACGATAAGGCGCACTTAAAATCCTTTTATTTTCTCAAAAATCAACAGTGAGCCTTATAATCCAAAAAACACGGTAATCAAATTTCTTGTTGCTGTCGTCATCATCACTGAACAAATAGTGGAACTGTGACTTATAGACACAGATGTAGTGTTCTTAGGGGTTTATATTAAAGTACTTGTATTATAAATCTGGTAGATTTCTGATGGTAGCCTGCTTTATTTCATAAGGGTAAATGGTACAAAGGATATTTTGTGTTTAAAGTGCAGTACAATGCAGTCCAGGCAAACTCCTGGTGCTCAGTTTGTAATAAAATCAACAAAAACTAAATCAGGATGATGCAATTTTCAAGCATGTTCTCAGTTAAAGTTCAATTTAAAGGCTGCGTTCTACCTTTCACTAAATATATACTGATTTCACATTACATGTATTGTTTGCTTTATCCTAAGAATTTCTTAAGATGCACATCAAATGGCTGTAAAGTACAGTTTTAAGTAGTTTTTTTTTTTCTCAAAAATTTTCCGGGTAAGCATACCCAGAAAGCACCTAGGACTGCTTTGCACTGTTGGCGCTTGCAAATACAGCATGTACAAGTATTCCTCATTGCAATCAGCAAATATTAGCAGATATTTTGAAGTCCGCCTAATTCAAGATGGCCATCACAGCTAATTCTCATTTGCAAATACACACACAAAAAAAGATTTAACTCAGTCAGCTTCCCAGAAAGTGAGATGAAATTTGAGGTGGTTGTAGCTGACAAGGAGATGAAGCTTTGATCATGACCTGTGCAAAACATCATTCGCCAAGTTTGACCAAAAACGTCTCTCAAAATAGGATGACTTGAGTTTAAAACTGGCATGAAAGGTGCTGGGTGATGTGCACTCCTTCAAGAGTTATTTTAATCTGTTTTTAGGTGCGTTTCAAAAAACATTTTACAAAGATTCGGCTAATTGGCCCCTGTCACAGAGCAAAGAGGAGGAATTGGAAATACTTTGTGCATATTTTGAGCACACCTTGAAGAATAAGTGAGATATCCACTTCCATTTGATGTGTGGCCGCTTCTCAATGTAAGAAAAGTCGCTATTGAAAACTGGGTTGCCATGTCAAAATCCAAGATGGCCACTGCCATATAAATATGAAAACCTTCTACCCCCATCATTTGAGGAAACTATGCTTTCTAGTTTTTATATGGCTTAAAAGTACAGTTTCTTCAAATGACTGGTGTGGTCCAAGATCAATCTATGATGGTCAAGGCCACCATTGGCCACCCCCTGGTTCCTCCACTGCACCTGGTGGTGAGGAACAGCTTCTACCCTGAGGCTGTTAGACTCATGAATCTCTAACTAGAATAATCACTGTGAAAAACCATATCATGTTGCTGCTGATCTGTTTCATGTTGCTGCTGATCTGTTTCAATGTTGATATGTTCATGCGTGCACATCTGCTCACAGACTCATGTTCATGTTTGTGCTGATGTTCAATGTTTTATGTTATGAGTGCTTAGTGTATATTTAGTTGATGTTTTTCTTAGTTCATATCTTAGATGTTATTACTGTTTTTCTTATACATTTTATTGTTGGATGTAACTGGGACCCTGTGTACATAATTTCGCTCCACCACATGAACCACATGAGGTGCGAATGACAATAAAGAAACTCTGACTCTGACTGACTCTGATAAAGTTGCTCCCTTCACTCGCCAGGATCCTGCAGTTGACAAGAAAAAACTCTCTTAACAAAAGAGCAGCGATGCCTTGTCCTCTGGATGAGACCAGAGACGGATACATTTTTATTTAAACCGCTTTAAACCGTTTTTAATTAATGTTCATGTTTGTGACACACTGACTACTTCAGCCTTTGCCCGTTCTGTATTCAGACAGTGTTGCTGCACAAATGCAGCTTAAAAAATTGTGTTTGTAGATTTAAATGTGTTTGACAGGATATTACAGGAATAATTCAGGCATCTTCAAGTGGGGTGGACAAAGTTCTTAACAATTAACATCTTACCTGTTGTAGATAGCTTTTTGAACAACCCGAGTTAAGAAACAGAGTTTAACTTTGATTAGCGAGCTAATGGCGGTCGGTTTAACGTTACACGTGTACTCAGGTAGAAATATTCTGTTACGATGCCTCTGCACAGCAAGTGTCTCCTCTTGTAGTGACTTTGTTTATTTTGTTATCAATCATCAGGTCCATAGCCACAAGAACCGTGTATCTCACAGTCGGGTGAAGATAAATGTTCCAGAGGGCCCCTGGACGGGTCCCCTACTCCACACCCGCCAGCGGATGTCTCTGTTTGCTGTGACGTGCATCGAAACCAGCCACTATGTGAGCTTCGTCAAACATGGACCCCAAGACACGGACTGGTTGTTTTTTGACAGCATGGCAGACCGGGAAGGTGAACAAAACATTTACTTTTTTGTTGCTCGGTAAAGGAAAACATGTCCTGTCCAAGAGTTCATGTCTCTTTGTGTCTCTCAGGTGGTCAGAATGGCTTCAACATCCCCCAGGTGAAGGCGTGTCCCGAAGTGGGCCGCTTCCTCAGCCTGTCAGAGGACGAGCTGAGCCGAGTGGACGCCTCGTCCTTAAAGGAGACGGCCCGTCGGCTGCTCTGCGACTCCTACATGTGTCTGTACCACAGCCCAGAGCTCAGCCTGTACAAGTGATGCCGAGGACCAGACACACACTGAAAATACACACGCTTGGTCTTTCTAGAAACTCTAAACTGTTACGGGGAAGAAAAGAATGCTCTCACAACATATTGGGAATTATCGGCCTTTTTTTCCTCATTAAAAGTTTTTTTTTCTAAATAAATTAAAGCCGCCCCACAAAGAAAGAGATGAACTTACAGTATCTGCAACATGCTAGAGTTTACTTCAAAGATGAAAAAAATACGTAACTTTTCACGCACAACGTGTGTGTTTATTTGTAGAAATTTCAGCTGTAAGGGGTGAAAAGTAAATCTGGAACTTGTCAAAAGTATATACGTTGCGTATTGTAATTATTGTTGGGGGACTGTAATAATATGTTGAGAACAGCAGGAAGTATGTTCACGATGAACCTTTCAGTATTGAAGAAATGGAGTCGTCCACATTCAGCTCAGTGGAAGCGCTGCGGAAACGGACGGTAAATTATTCATGCTGGGGATTAAAAAAAACTAAAGTTTAAATAAAACCATTTAGAAAAATATAAATTTTTAATAATCTGTCTATGATTGTAAAGAGCTATGTTTATTTATGAAACAATTCCAGCACAGTTTTAATTATAAATTTACTAAAACCCTTGAGTAATCCGGATTAGCAGATGTTGGATTATATGTACTCAGTTTAGTTTTATTGTAAAAGTTGTTTTGTAAATCCAGAAGTACTACAGCAGTTTCAGTATCATATCTGAGTTCAAAAAGTATATTCCACTTTGAAGTGAGGGTCTGTAGAAAGGTTATGATTAGTTAATATCTTACCTGTTGTACACAACTTCATCTTGGACTTTAATTCTGACCAGGCTGATGAGCGAATGGCTAGTCTGAGCAGAACTGGGACCAAAGTGCGTTTCTGCTGTGGATACCTAGAAATTCAGTGTTTCATGTAAAAATTAATAAACTTTACAGTATTGTTAGTTTTGCAGTAAATTGTTACAAATGTACTTCCAGTTGAGGGTTGACGCACTTTCAGCAAGATCTTTATAATATATAAATACTGTACACATTTTATTTTCAGAATACCCATGTAATGTGAAAGTGACAGCAATATAAATAAACAAAAACATTTGTATGAACTGCTAGGTCTTTGTGAGACTGGAGTTGCTTTAGGACATCAACAATCCACTTGGGTCTTCACTGCCTTCATACTAGCTTAGCAGAGCAGTCCCGTTGAGTCTTAACTTGCTTTCTAAAAACTGAGGCACTATCTACAACAGGTAAGATACTGATTAACAACTTTTTCCTCTGAAGTCTATATAAAATTATCCCTGTAAGTGTAATATTTTTAGTCAAGCAATCCACCGTCCATTCAAATCAAATAATTTGACTTTACTAAGCAGCCATATTTACACACTATATGTGCCTTATGAACAAATGGTCAGCCTGAAGCATGCTGGGTAATCCAACGATTATATATGACGTTTAAACTGGGCCTTATAAATCTGCACTCTGTAGAGCATCACTGGGCCTTCAACATGGGACTCTTCGATGTTTTCCACTTTGCTTTGCACTCCATGTACCCGTCAGGAAGTTTGTAAATATTAATATCTGAAACTGACAGTAAAGATTGTACACTGATATTTAACACTGCTCACCTGGTGTTTTAATATATTACTGCTGCATGAAACTGTTTTCAAACAATAAAACTTTTTTCATTTTGTTTGCTTCTACTGTAATGAATTGGTAGCTAAAGCAGTGCAAGGTGTCAGATTTACAGATCTATGTAGAGCATGAACGATGGAAGTATGTTATTAGTAAATTAATTTATTAGTAGAACTTTGTTTATTCTTAAGTGATATATATATGTATAGATATATATAGATATATGTATGTATGTGGAGAGAGAGATGTATATATATATATATATATATATATATATATGTATAGATATATATGTATAGATGTAGATATATAGATATATATAGATGTATAGATATAGATATATATATATAGAGAGAGAAAGATGTATAGATATAGATCTATATATAGATAGATATAGATCTATATATAGATATAAATATATAGATATATACAAACTGGATTCCAAAAAAGTTGGGACACTAAACAAATTGTGAATAAAAACTGAATGCAATGATGTGGAGATGGCAAATGTCAATATTTTATTCGTAATATAACATAGATGACAGATCAAAAGTTTAATCTGAGTAAATGTAACATTTTTAAGGAAAAATATGTTGATTCAAAATTTCACAGTGTCAACAAATCCCAAAAAAGTTGGGACAAGTAGCAATAAGTGGCTGGAAAAAGGAAATTGAGCATATAACGAACAGCTGGAAGACCAATTAACACTAATTAGGTCAATTGACAACATGATTGGGTATAAAAAGAGCTTCTCAGAGTGTCTGTGTCTCTCAGAAGCCAAGATGGTAAGAGGATCACCAATTCCACCATTGTTGCACAGAAAGATAGTGCAGCAATACCAGAATGGTGTTACCCAGCGTAAAATAGCAAAGACTTTTAAGTTATCATCATCAACTGTGCATAACATCATCAAAAGATTCAGAGAATCTGGAACAATCGCTGTGCGTAAGGGTCAAGGCCGTAAAACTCTACTGGATGCTCGTGATCTCCGGGCCCTTTAAATGTCACTGCACCTCAAACAGGAATGCCACTGTCAAGGAAATAACAGAATGGGCTCAGGAATACTTCCAGAAAGCATTGTCAGTGAACACAATCCACCGTGCCAGCCGCCGTTGCCAGCTGAAACTCTACAGTGCAAAGAGGAAGCCATTTCTAAGCAAGCTCCACAAGCTCAGACGTTTGCACTGGGCCAGGGGTCATTTAAAATGGAGTGTGGCAAAATGGAAGACTGTTCTGTGGTCAGATGAGTCACGATTTGAAGTTCTTTATGGAACACTGGGACGCCATGTCATCCGGACCAGAGAGGACAAGGATAGCCCAAGTTGTTATCAACGCTCCGTTCAGAAGCCTGCATCACTGATGGTATGGGGTTGCATGAGCGCTTGTGGCATGGGCAGCTTGCATGTCTGGAAAGGCACCATTAATGCAGAGAACTATGTTCAGGTTCTAGAACAACATATGCTCCCATCTAGACGTCATCTCTTTTAGGGAAGACCCTGCATTTTTCAACACGATAACGCCAGACCACATTCTGCAGCAATCACAACATCATGGCTACGTAGGAGAAGGATCCGGGTACTGAAATGGCCAGCCTGCAGTCCAGATCTTTCACCTATAGAGAACATTTGGTGCATCATAAAGAGGAAGGTGCGACAAAGAAGGCCCAAGACGATTGAACAGTTAGAGGCCTGTATTAGACATGAATGGGAGAGCATTCCTATTTCTAAACTTGAGAAACTGGTCTCCTCTGTCCCCAGACGTCTGTTGAGTGTTGGAAGAAGAAGGGGGGATGCCACACAGTGGTAAAAATGGACTTGTCCCAACTTTTTTGGGATTTGTTGATGTCATGAAATTTGGAAACAACAGATTTTTCCCTTAAAATGATACATTCTCTCAGTTTAAACTTTTGATCTGTGATTTGTGTTCTATTCTGAATAAAATATTAGATGTTGACACCTCCACATCATTGCATTCAGTTTTTATTCATAATTTGTTTAGTGGCCCAACTTTTTTGGAATCTGGTTTGTATTTGAACACCTTTGAAAATCAATGTTAATATCTGGTACAGTAGTCTTTGTTTACAGTTACAGAGGTCAAATGTTTCCTGTAGTGTTTCACCAGGTTCACTGCAGCAGAGACTTTGGTCCATTCCTCCACACAGATCTTCTCTAGATCAGCCAGGTTTCTGGGCTGTCGCTGAGAAACACGGCGTTTGAGCTCTCTCCAAATATTTTCTGTAGGGTTTAGGTCTGGACACTGGCTAGGCCACTCCAGAACCTTGATATGCTTCTTACGGAGCCACTCCTTGGTTCTCCTTCCTGGCTGTGTGCTTCAGGTCATTGTCATGTTGGAAGACCCAGCCACGACCCATCTTCAATGCTCTAACTGATCGTGTGGGGTGGACAGGTGTCTTTATGCAGCTAACCACCTCAAACAGGTGCTTCTAATGTAGAATAATAAGTGGAGTGGAGGTGGACTAACAGGTCTTTGAGGGCCAGAACTGTTGCTGATTGGCAGGTGTTCAAATACTTATTTGCAGCAGTAACACACAAATAAATTATTTAAAAAATCAAACATTGTGATTTCTGGATTTATTTATTTTTTTAGTTGTCTCTCACAGTGGACATGCACCTAAGATGGAAAGTTCAGATCGATCCATGATTTCTAAGTGGGAGAACTTGCAAAGTTGCAGAGTGTTCAAATACTTATTTTCCTCACAGTTTATATATGTGCACTGTTCTTGAACTAATCTGAAGGCCACATGAAGTTTGGAGGTCTATAGTGATTGATTCTGCAGAAAGTTGGCGACCTCTTCGCACTATGCACTTCAGCATCCGCTGACCCTGCTCCGTCAGTTTACGTGGCCTACCACTTCGTGGCTGAGTTGCTGTCATTCCTAAACACTTCCATTGTATTATGGCAGTCATGGCACCTCCGGCTATCACATGGAGGGCTATGCAGCCATCCAAAGAAATGCCTCCCCGCACCATAACTGACCCACCACTAAACCGGTCATGCTGGAGGATGTTGCAGGCAGCATAACGTTCTCCACAGTGTCTCCAGACTCTGTCACATGTGCTCTGTGTGAACCTGCCTTCATCCGTTTTTGGTGTTCCCTAGCAAACACCAATCGTCCTGCACGGTGTTGGGCTGTAAGCACAGGCCCTATATGTGGACTTCGGGTCCTCATACCACCCTCATGGAGTCTGTTTCTGACAGTTTGAGAGGAAACATGCACATTAGTGGCCTGCTGGAGATTATTTTGTAGGGCCCTGGCAGTGGACCTCCTGTTCCTCCTTGCACAAAGGACGAGGTAGCAGTCCTGATGCTGGGTTAGCCCCCCTACGACCCCCTCCATGTCTCTTGGTGTACTGGCCTGTCTCCTGGTACCGATTCCATGCTCTGGACACTGTGCTGAGAGACACAGCAAATCTTCTTGCCACCGCTCACATTGATGTTCCATCTTGGATTAGCTGCACTTCTTGGGCGGCTGTGGCTGAGTGGTTAGAGCAGTCGTCCTCCAATGCAAGAGTTGAGGGTTCTAATCCACCAGCAATCATATGTTGAAGTGTCCCTGGCAAGACACTGAATCCCCCATAGCCTCTGATGTGTGTCCCATCAGTGTATGAATGTGATAAAGCTGATTAGTCTCTTTAGAATGATTTGTTCAATTAGCTTTGTAGAGATCTAGTAGAATGCTGTATGAATGAGTAAATGAGGCACAGATTGTAGTGTAAAGTGCATTGAGTATCTTGAAATAAGATAGAAAGGTGCTATATAAGTACAGTCCATTTACCATTACCATTTACTTGAGCAGCTTCAGTGGGCTGTAAAAAACGCCTCATGACGTCTCTACGTGTGACAGCACTGACAAAATGAAAATGTGACTAAAAGTTCAACCAGAAAGGACAAAAACAGAGAAATTACCTGTGGTCACCACCTGCAGAATCACCCTTTTATAGAGGTTGTCTTGTTAATTGCCTCTCATTCCACCTGTTGTGTATTCCATTTGCACAGCAGCAGGCGAAACTGATTCACAATAAGTATTACTACCTACCTGGTGACATTGATTCCACAAAGGTGTAACTCATTTAGAGTTACATTGTTTTGTTTAGGTGTTCCCTTTATTTTTTGAGCAGTGTATATGTAAATGTATATATATATATATATATATATATATATAGTGATACTAAAATATTGATACTATCTATATTTTATTGAAATTCATTATGAATTTTATTTTGAAGGGGGCATCACTCATAGCTTTGATAGAAAAAGTTTAAACATCAGCCTCAGATGTTATTGCTTAATTACCTCATATTAACCTCTTTATAATGAGTTCTTTTGCATAAAAGAGCTCACTCAAATATCATAAATAAAACACACACGCTTCAGTATACAATTTTGTGATGTTTATTTGGCTATATATGGGCAAATAACTATTGGAAATTATTGCTTACATTTAAATGATGGCTTTGTTTAACAACTGGAGTTTAGGGAAATTAACTTGACCTTTAAAATACTTGTTAGCAGAAATTAACACGTAAAATGGAATTATTCAATGTCATTACCCAAACCAAAATAAAATGGAATAAAATTAAATGTAATGTTCTGAAACTTACAGCAGGGCAAATTAACTATACAAATTTAACTAAAAGGGAAACACTTTTTTTTACACATAATCCAATGGTTAAAATTTGGTCTTAAATTTAAGGGAAAATAATTCCTGAACTGAGTCAATACCTGGAAATCTAAATTTAATGACACCAGGCATCACATCCCAGAGTAAATCAGCTTTTTCCTACCGGGAGTTGTCTTCAAACAGCTGCCGTAGATCCCAGATGTGGGACTCTCTCTCTCTTTCTCTGCTTAGATGGTCTGTGACGTGACAGTGAATGTTTCTTTCACGTTCCTGGACATCAAGGCAAAGAGTGTGGTCACTGGTTCTGAATGGTCAGTCTTCAAAGGTGCACTTCTCTGGGAGTTCTGGGTCCCTGTTATTGGCTCTGGTGATGCAGCTGCAGGTGTCTTGTCTCTCTGGAGCGCTGAAGATAGTTCTATCAAACTTGGCTAAAAATGAAACTTCTATTTTTCTTTCTTGAAGCTTTTGTATTATAATGAAGCTTTCTGTATGATGTTTGACTATTAAAAGTAATCACACTCCTTCCTTGGAGATCTCTTTCGACCTTCCTCTTCAGAGGTCTTTCTTCACTCCTCTCCTCTGTCTTTTTTGTCTGTCAACTCCCTACTCCTAAGGTTCCTCTAAGACAACTTTTTAACCACCACCTACCACTCTGAAAGGGCATGATTGATTTCAACCAATCAGGATAGAGAGGGGGGACTTAAGACATAATTTGTCTTAACTTTAACCAACTAATTTAAGCATTACCTTAATTCACTCTGCTGAAAAGTCCTCAAATAAACACTTCTATCATCTTTCTTTTATGTGAGGTTAAATCAATAAAGACACTTTTGTTAAACTTGTGAACAGAAAACAAGTAGACATCCTCTGACTACAGTTTCATGTCAGCTGTAAAAGAAAACCAGCTCTTTCCTTTATCATCCTAATTTACGACCAGAGGAAGGATGAATTGGTTCGATCTTGGGACAGGGTATTACCAGAACTTTCTTGCGGTTCTGTGTAAACTCAAAACATCTATTTTGGGTTCACAAAAAGGGCTCCTTAGATTTACCTGACAATTTGATGTTTTTACAACAGTGAATGTCTCTTTTGGACATTGATCAGATTGGAGGGTTGCTGAGAAAGGGTTAAACTGTCCCCAGGTCTGAGACTGGAGAGGAATGTCTCAGTTGTTGTGAAAGGAAGGCTGTTTCTTTTTTCTTTAGGGGACATCTTCACAGAATGAACTCACTCAGTCCCAAAGTATTAGAAAATAAAAATCAGAATCAGAATAAGCTTTATTATCATCGCACCAAGATATAACGAGAACATTATTATCCATTACTGTTTTTGTCGGTTTCTACGTTTTTGGTGTCCTGTTATGTAATCTGTTGCTATGTGCTTGTTCTGCTTGTCCCTGTACAGCACTTTGGTGTGCTTTGTCACTGTTTAAAGTGCTATATAAATAAATTGGTATGGTATGGTATGGTATGTACGTACAGTCATCCGAAAGATGGACGTAGTGCACAAAGCTGCTGCTATAAGTTTCCAGAGAATATATCCCAGAAGGAGCAAATAAAATGGGAAAACAGAAGGGGCCAAGTATAGATCCCTGAGATACCCCACATGTGAGAGGTGCTAGATTAACAGCTACACTCACACAAAATGTGAAAAAACTGTTTCTGCAGTTGTGAATCTTGCAGTATGAATTTATAAAACTTGTGGTACACTTGTGGATCTTTTTATGCTCATAAATTTTGTACGCTTGTGTGAATACTTTTTAGGCCAATTAATCTTCATATATTCAAGCCCTGACCCTTTAGCCTGCACTGGAATGACTCACAGGAAAGAGCCAACAAAAATACAATAAAATTCCCTAAATACTGTGTAGACTGCTAAAAGTTATAACATAATTCCAATTTGAACATTATGGACAATAAAAATCAGTGAAACTGGATAGCTACAAGTGGTACATAGACAAAACATTTTTCCAAATTGTCACTGACATTTAAAGTCGGTAATATCGATTTTCACTTTGCTTCAATACTGATAGCACTAACAAACACTGTAAAACAGGCAGTCTGCGGTTTGTTTTTACTCGTGTAGTTCCTTTTATTTGTTTGAGAACGCTAGCTCGTGCGTGACGTAACTTCCGCCCCAGCAGCGTAAGTGCGTCATCACTGCGGGCCCCGGATTCAGCGAGTGTTCACGGAACAAGTTGTTCTCTGGCTCTACCTGCGAGCTGATTTGGCTTCTTTTCAGTGAAAACTAACTTTAGAAGCCAACAGCAGCGGTTTGGATGCTTCTGTGAAGTGAGTTAGTTTTTTATCTGACAGAACGAGGCTTTAAATGAGCTCGACGTTTGGTGACATCTCCCTCCTGCCTTCCGTCGTGTGTCACCGAACATTTGCTGTTTAAACTGCGGGTGGTGCTGCTGTTTATATGAACAACCAGAACCGGCTAATGACCTTTTTATTGTCGAAATCACTCCGCTTATTGTTGTCAGTGTGTGCTGGGTTTCTGTTTCTCTTGGTCTTGTTGTTTAGACCTCTGAGTTATCAGATTAACGCTGTTTTGAGCCCAACATTATTCACTTTACACGAGTGTTGATGTAAAACATGTAGATAATATTGAATCGAGTCATTTGTTCATCCTGTTTCAGCACTTCTGGGTGTAAGGCGCGAATTCAACGTTATTGTATGTTTTTCTAAGTTGTCTGTGAAGTTGCATCATCATCATAGAGTTTATCTGTACAGGTGCTGTTTGTCTCTGAGGTCCAGCTGTGAGGTTCGTTGCCATGGCGTCTCCAGGGGGACAGGGAGGAGCAGGAGCTTTGTCCACAAGAGGAGGCAGCGGGGTCCGAAGGATGAAGTGGGCTCTGGAGCTGAGCTTGGGAAACACAAGGTATGCAGGATGTCATCAGGCAACTTGTTCATTTTAAAGAATAGGTGTCTTGCTCAAGGACACCACAGCATGTGACTGTCGGAGTGGAACCTGCAACTTTTCAATGCTAAGTTTCAATGCACAGCAGCCCAAACTACTACGTTAATACTGAAAGGCTTATTTGTTGCTTCGTGTGGGATGCACATCTTCAGGGTGGCATTTATCAACTTTATAATGGTCTTGATGGCATTGATTAATACGAGTATCTGCTCGTGGCTAATCAAACTATCACACCAGTGTGTTGTACCGTTCTTTAGATGTACTGGAAATAGATGACTCTGCAGTTATTTGATTTGATGCTTCAAATGGTCTGTCTGTGTGGCTAATCTACAACCCCAATTCTGAAAAAGTCTTGACTTTGCCTTTAGCCTCACAATACAATGGTTTGGAAATCTCATAAACTCATATTTTATTCACAGTGAAACATGGCAACATATCAAATGTTTGAGATACATAATTACACCTTATAAGGACATTTTGAATTTAATGGCAGCAAAAAAGCAACAATACCAACAAAAGTTTGGATCACACCATGTTTCTCTCTGTGAAGCATCTTCTTTTCACAACAGTTGAATGTTGTCCCATTCTGGTCTGATGGAGGATTTTAGCTGTGCAACAGTCCTGGGCCTTCTTTGCAGAATTTTCCTTTCGCAATGCATTAAATAGAGAGAGATCTGAACTGCAGGCAGGTCATTTCAGCACCTGGATTCTTGTACATAGCCATGCTGTTGTAATGGATGCCATTATGAGGTTTAGCAATGTCTTGTTGAAATATGCAAGGCTTTCTCTGACAAACATGTCTGAATGGGAGTATATGTTGTTCTGAAACCTGTATGTACTTCTTTGCATTAGTGGTGCCTTTCCAGATGTGCAAGCTACCAAAGCCAGAGGCACTAATATGCACTCCTATCCACCTTATTCCTAACCCCCATGCTGCCTTCCTTAAATTATGGGGGTGACTTTCGGCACAGATCAGAACCGGCATTTGTTTATGTGCAAACAGTACGAGCTAATGTGGTTTCTCCGAGCAGTGTGGATTTAATTTAAATGTGTAGGAACACCAGCTGTCAGAGCTCAAACAGGACAATATAATCATACTGCTGCCTGCTGTGGATGAGGGATAGAGGACGACCTGAAGAAGTGCTGCAGATTACATCTGTCCAAACAAGTCTCACTTGTAAATGTCTTCAAGGCTCACTGTGATTTATCCATTTAAATAAAGGTTGAATGAATGAATCTACTAGCATATTTAGCTACTTATACTAGCATATTTAGCTACTTATACTA